GGCAACCTGGGCCTGCACTACGTGCAGCTGGACCTGGCGCAGCTGGTCTACACCACCACGCCACTCTTCACCCTGGCGCTGTCCCGCGGCCTGCGGGGCACCTGCCACCACCCGCTGCAGTATGCCGCCATGGGGCCCATCTGCCTGGGTGCCTCCGTCAGCCTCCTCAGCGAGGTGCACTTCAGCCGGCCCGGCTGCTGCTTCCTCCTGGCCGCCACCTGCCTCCGGGCGCTCAAGTCCATACAGCAAAGTAAGTGCCCGGCGCCCCCACCCCCAGTGTCGCCATCCAGGGCCCGGTCCTGCTGCGGGGGCACCGCTACTCGTGGGCCCCTGGCTCGGGTCTGCAGGCCCCCAGCGCCCACATGCCAGCTGCCTCCCGCCAGGCTGCTCTCGGCTGGCCAGAGCACCTCCTGTCACCAGATGCGGGCAGTGCCGATGGGCCGCGTCGGCGCTAGACCAGAGGGGGCTGCACTTTGACGGGAAGGCTGCTCTCTCCATAGCAGGTTGCAAGGGACTGGGGTTCAGGGTGCTATCAAAAGGCTGTGAATGATGCTAAGGGATAAGGCTGTCCTCTCCTGGTCACAGGTAAGCTTCTTTCTGGGCGCTAAGTAAGAGAAGGGGTGTAATACTACAGACTGAATCCCCGCTGAGTGGGCCACGTTGCCACCACGTCAACCATCTTCCCTGCCACCATTCTCCATCCCTTTATCCAGAGAAAGCGCCGTGGATCGTCAGTTTTCCAAAGGCCTGACTACAGCACCACTTTCCTAGGGGATGGGGTGAGACCTACCAAACCCATTTTACCCAGCAGTAGTCAACTGTTACTAGCTACTAGCATTAGTCAGCTGTTACTACCTGCAGGGGAGGTTTTCACAATCCATTGTTTATCACCTGAGCCGTGCAGTTTTTTTTCCCTACCCCTGTTGGAAGGAAATTCCCTGGCCCTGCATGCCAGGAGGGTGGTGTAAGAGCAGAAACAGCCTGAGACACAATCTGACAAAGGGCTTCTCAGGCCGAATTGTCCTTGGCAGCAAACATCAGAGAGATGCCAGTGTTTATTTTTTACTTCAAAAGGAAATTTTTCCATTTCTCCAGACCAAACCGTTTTTGCAGGGTGTGTTGCTTCTTGGGGTCTTGCCAAGGCAGTGTTTCATGGCATAAGCTGTGTACTGGAATCTGACCTAGTAGCTAGCCTGCCTCTACTTTTAAGTCCCAGTAAGAACTCCTAATGTTGAGCCATTGAAAAACAGGCCGGGAAACAACTTGTGGCTGGGATTCTTCACTGGCCCAGGAACATGGGTGAAAAGGGGCCTTTCACATCTCCAGTTTCATAGAAAAAAATCAAAGCTGCCAGAAATTCCTGTCCCCCCCCCAGCAAGGTGCTGCCCAGGCTGCCAAAGTTCCTTCGTCCTCCTTCTGTCCACCCCCCCCCCCCCCCCCCACACTTTAATTATTGTTTGAAGCATCTGAGATCCTTACTGTGAACCAGGCCCCCATAGTACCAGGCACTAGAGAAGCAAAAAGACAGTCCATGTCCCAAAGAGCTTGCAGGCTTAAGTAAGAACTTAGAGTCTGTGTCCTGGGTGTTAGTCTGAGACCCCATCAGCCTAGGGCAACTTGTTTGCATCTGGGGAATTGGCCCTTTACCAGCTGCTCACCCCACAGTCTTGTTTGTGGGCCAAGGTCGTGTTACTGGGACATTATTACTTGTAGAGGGCTGTGTTTTACTGTTTGCTTTTCCTGGGACAAAGCCCCATTCACTGTAGAGAGGTGTCCCCACCTTTTCATCCCCCTTCTCTCAGCCCATTTTCTCGCTTTTGTTCAAACAGTTCCGTTAACCCAAATCAAGGAAGCTGCTTCCCCTGTGGGGAAGTATCAGTGCCCCCACACAAGTTCTGGGTCTTGGTGTGGTATCTGCTCATGTTGCACATCTGGTAAATGCCAGCAATTCTGGTGGTGTTGGTTTGTCACTGGGGTGGGGGCAGGGGAGGACGTACGGACTGCAGCATATTGTCCTGGGTGCAAGGCTGTGAAAACATCTTTGTTTCAGCATGGTTCCATGTTGCATTGAGAGCCACTTTGGGGCATGCTAGAGGGGACAGGACAAGATGTGCCAGCCAGAGGCACTGCGAACCCAGCAGGATGCTTCTAACATATCTTTTGAAATGTTGACCTTGAGCTTTGCCAAACTGTGGGAAATCTGGAGGGTCTTAAAAGCAGTCTCCCAAAGTACTTGTGACAGCCGGTAGATTAGTGAAGAGAAGTCATCTTCTGCTCATGTTCTGAATTAAACCCTCCCCATATCCTTGAAAGGGTTCAGCCCACAGGCAAGGTCTTCTCCTCAGAGCCTTAAGAGTCCCAGTGGGATCTCTCCACCTCCTGGGGCCTCCAGGTCCCTGTGGACTTTCCCTCCTACAACTTCGCTCCAAACCACCAGACTTTCTCCATTGCCACCCTGTAACACCCCCATGCTCTTCCAGTGCTCCACCCAGTTTCTGCATTCACAGTCCTAGCTCACATAGAACAGAAGTGGCAAAGGACCTGAATTACATCGACTGATGCTTCATGTCCTTGTAGGTATTGCACTGGGTGCTTCATCTTAACCCTTTCATTGCTGAATGAGAGTATCAGACCATAGAGCTCTGTGCAATATTCCATTTCTGTTCTGATCTCTTTGCTGTCTATTTCCCATTGGAAAAGAATTTGATCCCCAGAGCAGTGCTGGGGTCTGGAGCAGTTGTTCTGACCATTAGCTGTGCATTAGCTGCCTCTTGGCATGGTTACATAAGGTATTGGCCTAATAATGGAACAGAAAAGGATTGAATGTTGTGTGTGATGGCTGTACAAGGTGGGGTGGACTGTCCAAAGTGTTCAGGCTTCTGGAAAGCTTGAGCACAAACATAGCGAAACAGAGCTGTTGAGAGGTGAGTACTCTTGAGAATCTGATTTTAATTGGGATGTTGAACCCTTGAAAACCTGCCCTGTGTTATAAAGATACTAGTATATTGTGAGTGTGCTTCATGTATATCATTGCATGAGGTGATATGATTGTGTATCTGTGTGAGCATTGTATAGTCACATTTCAAGTTGTGCATGATGCCAAGCATGACTTAGTAAGTAAATGCCAGCACTAACATGTCAGTTGTATGGCTGTGCAAGTTTTTGTGTGTAATATGCTATGATATGAATATTGGTGTGATGTTATGGTGTTGTCTTAGGCAGGGTAAGTGGTGGTGAGCAGGGGTCCTGACGACTGTTTTACTTAATACTTCCCACTACTGGGTTGAGCTTGTTGGCAAGTGTCTGTCTACCTTCCCCTGTTCACTGGTTGAAAGGCCTCTGGTTTCCCTCACCACCCTCCAGGCTTGCATCCCTTGCTGTCTGACTTTGTCTGTCTTCATCCAGGTACCCTGTTGCAGGATGAGAAGCTGGACTCCATTACCTTGCTCTGCCTGATGTCCCTGCCCAGCTTCTGCATCCTTTTCCTGGCAGCTCTGGTGCTGGAAGTGGGACCTGCCTGGGATGGCTCACTGCAATATGACAGTGCCCTCTGGGCCTGTATCCTGCTCAGCTGCCTGGGCTCTGTCCTCTACAACCTGACCAGCTTCTATGTCATCTCACTGACCTCTGCCCTCACCATTCATGTCTTGGGCAACTTCAATGTGGTGGGGAACCTGGTGCTTTCGTGGCTTCTTTTTGGCAGTCACCTGAGTGGGGTCAGCTATATTGGCATTGGACTCACCCTTGTGGGGATGTTTATGTACCACAATTGTGACCTCATAGCTGGATACTGGCATGCAAGGTTAGGCAGGGGGCAGATGAAACCAGACTGAATCCTTGGCTGGTGCATAGTGACCCTCTACAAATTGGCCAGGAACGTTTACAGAATGCAATGCACTCTCTGGTGTGTGTGTGTGTGTGTGTGTGTGTGTGTGTGTGTGTGTGTAACTGGCACTGCACTCTATAGGGGGTATGCATTACAGAATGCAGTGCATTCTCTGGTGCATGTGTGTGTGTTGACAAATGTGTGCATGCTTTCTTGATGCTGTTTAGTGGATGGAGGATTTCATATCCAAGTATATGGGTGTGTACAAGCACATGTACATGTGTATTTACAAGTATCCTCTGATGTTGAAGTGTATCAGACACTTTGCTATGTTTATATGCTATGGTTTTCTACTGATGAAAATGTCAGAACTTTTCTGGGAAGGGAATGTGAGGGGAAAGCATTTGTGTGTGTGCACAAGTTCACTATTGTCCTATGCTGGATAGCAGTAATTTAGGTGTGTTTGCATCTGTGTGTCTGTATTTGTGCTTTCTCTTCTGAGTGTTCCTGCATAGATTACAGCAGAAATATGCAGGCTTGTCTGTCTCTGAATGTAGGCATATATGTATGCCTATATGTACTATGGTTTTCTACTGATGGGAATGTAAGCACTCTTCCTATGTGTACATGCATACATACATGCATGCTAATTACAGTAGAGCTGGATCATTCTTATCTGGGTGGCTTACAACCGACTTAGTTTACAGCAGTTTGCCAAATTAAAGACAAGCTTTTCAGTTGTTTGCTCAGACTTTCACTTTAGTCAGCAGGAGCACATCCAGGATCCCACACAGCTGATTGGAGATACTGCATCCTTTGAAATAAAAGTCACAGTGAACAACTAGAGCACCTCAGTGGTCCCACACAGCTGTTTGCTGTGGCTCTATCTGTACCTGAATGCTTCACAAATCCTCTTCTTCACAGGGAGCTAAGGAACCTAACCCTGTAGAGAATCCAGGCACTACTGTATTGTTCTCTGTTAGAGAAAGCACATCTGGCCCATTTGTGTGTACGTGCATATATGTATGTGCTGGGGTTTTCTACTGCTGGGGGTGTCAGAAATTCTTCCCTATAGGAATGTGTTTATATTTGTCTTCGCTACTGAGCTCCGCTGGATGGAGTATATCAGAAGTGTGTGTGTGTGTGTGTGTGTGTGTGTGTGTTTGAGAGAGAGATCACTATTGCCCTCTGCTCAATGGAGCATATCAGACCTACTGAAGTGTGTGTATGTACGCATGTGAGAGCTTTGCTTTTTTGTGTGTCGAGGTGTGTATGAGTATGTGTATAAGAGAGCACTTTTTATCAAATCGTGTATTAAGTTTTGTGTTTCTGTTCAGCAGGTCTCCTTTGAGTCTGAGTGAACTCATTGGGGACCAGCCTTGATTACGGGCTACTGCAAGTCCTGTTCCTAAGCCCTAGAGTCTGTGGTGAGCTTTCTACTGTACAGGCACAGCCTGAGACTATCGTGAGGAGAACTTCAGAAGCATGAATGCTGTTGCTAGTGTTCTCTAAACATGCAGCTGATTAGGGCTGTGCATCTGTTTTGTTGATACAAGCCAACCAGTTAGCATCAGTCCTGAGCTCCCTAAGAACTGTTTTCTTGTGGGTTAAAAACACATTGATTCACCTTATAATGACTGACTGATTCACTGGACTGTGCCCTCTGCATTTCCTTATTCTGAGATATGGCTGTCGCAGGCTTGGGGCAGAACCCCTGACATGCTATGGGAGAGATTGCTTCCCTGCCCCAGTGGACTCTCCCTAAAGAGCCTGTGCCTGGCAGGCTTCCAAGAGCATCTCAAAACGGAGTCTTTTAGCTTACTGGTTGGTTCAGAGCTGCCAACTGTGATGGATTTAGGGCCCAGTGTATGTATGTGCATGTACCCATGCACATGGGTATACACAGGCCGATGTTCTCTATCACAAGTGTCCATTCACATGCCAGCACTAACATGCATGCACTCCTCCAGAGGGCACATAACAGTGCTAAAATGCCAACACACCCAGATTGCACATGTGTATGCACACACACCAGCAGCAAGACAAGCACAGAGGTGTCCCCCCCAAATTTGCACACACACACTGTCTAGACATACAGACACACACACATGGTCCCCCACAGTTCACACACATCTGTCAGCACCAGAGCACACACTGATGTGTGCTCCCTCCCCTAAGTGTATACTTGCACACCACTGCTAGCACACATACACAGGTATGCTCCCCTGCAGTGCATCCTCATGCATCCCCCCAGCACTAACTCATACTTGCCAGAATGCACATGCACACACCACACACTCCAGAATAAACACAACAGCAAGCAGGATCACATTCATGCACATATAGTGTGTGTGCAGATACACATAGCCCATGAGGAAATCCCTGTGCCCTTTTCAGCCATTCTTTCCTTGGTAGCAGTGCTCTGCAGTGGGACTCCAGCCAGAACCATGACTCTGAGTAACATGCAAAATGATTTTGGTGAAAAGGCTTATAGTGTTGATGTGTTGGGGGTCCTATGCCAGCAGGCTGGGCCTTGCCTGGGGCCAAAGGGCAGCTCTGACTGCACCTGTCCTCAAATAAAGCTCTATTTTTATTGTACTCTAGTCTGCTTTCCTTGGGTGACTCTAAGAAATGAAAATAGAGTTGGGTCTTCTGAGGAGGGGCAGCCTATGGAGCTCTGGGCTGACAGGGAGGCAAGAGAAGAGCAGTGTCCCCTGGGTGAAGAGATACCAAGGAGAACACCAAGAAGGGAATATCCCTGGGAGAGGGAGATGCACAGGGA